ATATATATATATATATATATATATATATATATTCATTCTGAGGTTTTCGCGGGTTTTAGTATGTAGGTCTTTGTTTATTCAGGTTTTCTCCCGCGTAAAATTGAAAGTGTCTTGGCAATGTTTCGACGAAGTCTCATTCGTCATCTTCAGGCTTGTTTGCTCAGCTTTGTGCTTCCAGCTTGCTCCTGGAAGCACGAAGTACTTTGTGGATTGCTCAAGAACTGAGTTATAACAAAACTGATTTCCTTTGTCCAGACTGAGCTAATGTGGAGAAATAAAAATGTTTCATTGATTGCTGATTGAGATCTCAAAGCATGTCCAGACATCTGTTAAAATGGATAAATCAGAGTTAGTCTGTGAGAATCAATTGCTGGGATATAGTAAACTGACTAAAAACTAGCTAAGGCCAACTGAATGTGTTTTATTTCTTACTAGTGCTCTTGGTTCACTCTTGGTGTTCTTTCATTTGCGGGGGCCTTGTCTGAGATTAAAGTATTTTACTAAAAGTCACAAGTGGTTTCAAAGTGATTGCACAAATAAATATAATATGCTGACATGAAAGGATGGTTAAACGTATCTTACATATTTGATGAAATATCAATTATTCGGATTAATCTCCCCTAACTATCAACATTTGGCTTCCGCAGCTAGAAGCTAACTTGACTTAAAACATCATGCCACTTGACTTCAAAAAAATCCACTTAATGCTCAATCTAGATCTAGAAATAGATTTATTTTAACAAGAATTGAACAGTAAACATATATACAATATAATTACAGACAACCCTGTTTTTAGTATGCACGGAAATAGCCAGTTTTGCTCCAGTGTGAGGAAAAAAAAAAAAAGGTAAATTCGGAGATGTTAAATGCTTAGCAAGGCTTACACGCTAGCACCTCCTTTGGAGGTAGAAAAGACACCAATATCATAAAACTCAGCCTGCCCCAGGCAGTGAGGAATTTTTGTGCCAATTTTTCAAATTTACACTTTCATCATGGTTGACAAAAAGGGAAAAAAAGCTTTGCGTGATTTCGTTCCTTTAAAGAATTAGTTACAACTGCATAATAAGTTCGAATGCTATCCTCTATGCCATGGGAGAGATGCCATTTTGCTGCCTATGTGAGCAATTACTTTGAGATACGGCAAGGTACAAATTTAATAGTAATATCTGCTTTCTAAAAATTGATATTTACCAAAATAATTTTAGTGTGTGATTGGCCAGCCATCTGTAAATACAGTTATCCAAAATGTCCCAATTTAAAAAGAAAACGCATTTGGTATCAAAATTATGAAGGCATTGGCTGCAATTCTCCGACTTCCTACTAGTCAGAGTAAGGCTGGTAAGGCCCACTTGGAAGAGGCAGACTGAAACCGGTGGAATTGGCTTCCAAGTGGATGTGCTCAGGTATAAAGGTGACAGCCCGTGTTACCCCTGCTCTAGGGATGCTTCTGGAAACCATTTATCACCCTAATAGTGTTTTGATGCCATCGTAATGTCCCTATCATGGTGACCAATTACCTGGAACAGGGAAATGTTTAAAAAAAGAAAGGAAGAAAGAAAGAGGAGTGTCACCATGGGAGCATCTGAAAAGTTGAAAAAATAGGCTGTTCATGGCCAGTTGCCCCCCACCCCCAACCCGCTCCATTCGGTTTCTAGAGACTTAACAGATCACATCCCCCTTATGGATCAAATTGATGTCTGCTATGGGGGAAAAAAAGAGCTTGAGGTTTCCCTTTCACCCTATAGTATCTGGCATTCGGTACTTCACTTGGGGGGAAAAATGGTAATAATGGCCGTGAAAAAGTTCAGCAAAGAAACAGTGACCGTTGTTTCCTCCCCAGCTGCCGCAAAGAAAATCAACCATAATCTCCCTCGCACAGGATTAATCATATATATATATATATATATTGTTACGATTGCAACCCTGTTGTCCCAGCTGTCAGCCATCCGATCTGCTCCATTTACAATTTTATAAAGAATTTTTTCACATCACAACGCTTCTCTGAATGTACAATATTTTAATATACATATAAAAATATAGCCCTGCTGTGTATATACTTACAACTCTACAGAGGAACCATTTTCCCCAGACCACCTTGCTAAAAGAAGGATTTAATAAACTGCATTCTCAATTATTATTGTGAAACCCTTGCGAGAAGCTGCAAAAACCATTTCTTCTTCTTTCAAATGCAGCCGCTGAAGCCCCTTGAGCAGAGAGGACTTTTCTTAAGACTCTTAACGTACATTTGGCAAAGGAAAGGGGCGGAGGAGAATTTGAAAAAATAGGACTTATCTTTGTTTTTTTAAGATTCATTTGACAAAAATATAGACAGTGACCTATATGTTCTGGCTAGTGGATTAGCACTCAGTGACAATCACAACACCCACCCACCCCCGCCGCCCCAAAGGCCTTGCCTCAAATCACTGGCTCAAAATTGGAAACCCAACGGAGAACTCTTCGGTCTAATCTCTGAACAGAGAAATACAAGTTGAATAAAAAGCTCCTGGACATCTCTTGTTTTACAGATAGGTAGCTGCGATTTTTGTTCATACAGTAGGAAAAAAACCAAAACAGCCGTAGGGCAGAAGCAGAGCCCTCCCGTGACCAGACCTTTGACATTGGGGTACAGTTTCAGAAAACCTTTTCATTCAAAGGACGTGGAATGCTAGGAGACGGACAGGCACACCTCTATGCTTTGTTAGCTTTGCTCTCTGGGGCTGTAATAAACATTGGCTTTGATGGAAGACTGACCTCAGTCGGTGTGTTCGGCGAGGGATCTTGATCACTGTTTGAAAAGCATACGTTGGTTTAAAAACAAAAAGGTAGCCATCAAAGTGATAAGGACACTTTGCCCTTCATTTCATGTAGTTCCCCCCAATGCGTAATATGTAGCAGCAAAGCCAAATCGGCACAGTAACTTCAACAACTGAATTTGCTCTCAGCATAGTAGAACACACACAGTTCATTTCATTCCCCTCTTTGAAACAACAACGCTATTGCAGCTGGCTGGACCAAAAGCCCGTGTCTGTAGCCAATACCACGGTGACACCTAGTGGCGCACGTGTGTTAAATCTTGTTCTTGTCCACCGTATGCTGTCTCTGCTCACTGTTCATCAAAAAGTGAGGATGATTTTCTACATTCAGTGTAGAGATTAGTCATAACTTTAGACAAGATGTTCTTTTGTTGTATCCCCCATTTTCTCTCTGCAGGATCGTTCGCTCGGCTTGCTTTCAGCAGGCAGAAGCCAAGTTTCCGATGGAGTCAACTGCTCTGAATGTACTTTTTAATGACTACGCAGCCGTGCCGGAACACCGGACATGGCATATTGGGAAGCAGCGTCCATGTGTTGGTGTTGGGGTCGTAAGCTTCCATATTTCCTAGAGCGGGGCCTTCGCTGCTGACAATTCCACCAGTGGCGTAAATTTTTCCATCAAGAACCACAGCGCTGTGGACAGAGAGGGTGGGGGGAGAGAGAGAAAGGAGAGGAATGCCGTTAGTAACAGTCCACTAAGCACTTGCTCTATTTAGTAATTGATCCTGGTGTTTGAAAGAACAGCTTCTGCATTAGCGTCGTAACTGCCACAAACCAATGACTATAATAACCAGCACATCCAGCCTTTGCCCATCTTAATTAATTTTCAGTTTTCTCCCGTGGGTGGAAAGGCAATCACAAATGTCAATGGACAGGAATTGGCCCTGATGACCCCGCAGCAAGGAGGGCACCATAGCCAATCTCTCCCTTGCTAGGATCATTTAGATCTCCATATACACGAATGGAAAGAGAAAATTCACGATAGCTTTCTACAGTCTATGTAAAGACAACCATAAAGACAGAATGGAGGAATGAAAGATAGCTTGTGTTTTGGTCCACTTCCCTCTAGATCCAGAGGCTGCATAGAAAGCAGTGAGAATCTAATTGGGGGGGGGGGGGTTGCTTCTCGTGGCAGGAGGTCCCCAAGCTGCTCAGAGGGGCCAATCAAACGAGCAGCAGCATTTCGATCCCAAATTGGAGTGGGGCTCAAAAGGAAGAAGTGAAGAGATCTGCTCCATGCAATTGACCTGATATGGTTCCTTCCCCTTCACTATTATCATTAAGAGGGGACAAGCATATTCCCAACCAGAGGGGGAAAATATTATTTTATTTTATTTTTATCCCACCTCTATTAGTAACTCAAAGCAGCAAACTGTTCTGTGTTGTGTGGCTTCTAGAAGAGAAAGCCTGAGACCTCCCCTCTTCCATCCTATGGGTTTAGGTGTTGCAACAGGGTTGGGGGTGTTTTTTTGCATTTTGCATGCCCGAAAACAGCCTTCAAAACCAGAAGGCAGAACTGATTGGTTTAGGAAAGTTATTATTTAATAGTACATTCTTGAGGACAGAGCTTGGTACTTATACCACTGCCAATGTAAATAGAAAACGCCATTTTGTTCCTTCTCCCCAAAGGGTATGTTGCGCGAGCATGAAAAAAGATGCTTCTTTGCATGGATTCTCTTTTTTTTTAATTCACCATTTTAACATCCTTTACAACAGGGGGGTCAAACTCAAGGCCCAGAGGCGGTATGCGGCCCGTGGGGTACTTAGATCTGGCCTGCGAGGCCGTTCTGGAAACAGCGAAGGACTGGCCCACGGTGCTTCTGCCAGTGAAAATGGAGCTCGGGAGCAGGGGTGGGTTTCTCGCCCCGTTCCAACCGATTCGGTTGGAACGGGGCGGGCGGTGTCCTCGTGCACGCGCACGGTGCACGCATGCGTACTAGTGTTTGCGTGACGCTCCAGCTGCTCCTGGATGATTGCGCAGGCGCTGTATGCGTCCACCGCTTGCGTGGAAGCTCAGAACTCGTCAAAACCGGGTAAGGACCGCGGGTGGGCGGGTGCGCCCTTCGCCGTTCCCGGAAGTTACTTACAGGGACAGCCGCGAACCGGTTGAAACCCACCCCTGCTCGGGAGCCACCACAGGTGCCCCGACAGGAATTACTTTGAGCTGGCCACGCCCCCCCCATGATCAAACACATCCCTGATGCAGCCCACAACAAAATTGAGTTTGACACCCCTGCTTTACAACAATGCTGAATAATCATTCTGAATGTATGATGAGAATGGTATCAAAGGAATTTCTCAGTTAAAAGCATTTAACTGAAAACCACTAAAGCTACGTATTGTGTTACCATGCCCCTTTTTATTGGAGAAACGTTTGGCATATTGGGTGCTTTCATACTTGAAAACCACACTTCTTTTGACACTCAAGCGGTATGAAAGCTTTCTCTGTGCCGGTGCTGTTGGAGTCTCAGCTCAACCTATGGACCTGGTTTCCCAATGAGGAAATTTCAGCATCTGGCCTGAACAATGGATAACTCAAATGGCAGTGGCAGAGGAAGCAAAATATGAGAATTTCATTAGGCAGGTAATAAATTACTAGATGACAGCTGTGCTTGGGCACTCAGTTTTTAGGGCGTTCTCTCCAGCTCTTCCATCATTGATCCCTGAAAGCGATTGTTTTCGGGCCAGACGTGATTAAGTGAGCATTTCTGACGGCAGAAGAATTCCTCATGAACATCTGGAGGTATTTTGCCTGATGCTGAATCATCAATATCAATTTCTTCCAGAGCTGTTGCTGAGAGTTTTTTTGTGATCCAAACCTGTTTACCCTCCATTCTTTTTTATCCAGGGACTGTCAAGGAGAGGCATTTCACAATCTCGGTTTGACCGGCTTGTGAACATTAATCCCTGTCCAAAAAATAACAGGGAAATAAAGAAATAACCTCTCTAGTAGTCCTTGAGGTTATAAAAGAACATTTAAATGACTGAATTAGCATGTTCACATGCGTCACAGTCTTTCTAATTCTTGCTGCCAATTTTAGTAACTGAAAAACGGGAACAGAGCCACACTTAATTTAGCTGGAACTGCTCCAAACAGTCTTTTTTCTTTTCTTTTCTTAAAAAAATCCCTTTTATGGTGTTTAGGAAATATTTTTTCTTTAAAAAAAAAAAGCACCAATTAAAAAAATATCATCCCAGTGAAATCTGGTTATATAGGAAGAAGCTATTCCAGCTTCAAATTCTTGAATTGTCTCCCCCTTTTCATTTTGGGAACAGAAACACCACTATTTTTTTTTAAACTGAAGATTAATATTCGGCAAACATCCCAAATGAAGATCCCAAAATAGCATTGCTATGAAAATACCAGTGTATCAAGCCTAGCCATCTTTAACACTTGAACACTACTTGAAAAAAAAAACACCACAAGCTATTATTCAGCCTAAGTCAGTGATGGGGATCCTTTTCGGCACCAAGTGCGCAAACTGGGAATATGCATGTGCGCATGTGCGCCAGAAATCTGAAGACCAGCTGGCCGGCGCATGCATGGCAGCTGGTTTTCAGGTTTCTGGCGCTATGGCCCATGCAAAGACCAGCTGGCCGGCGCATGCATGCCAGCTGGTTTTCAGGTTTCTGGCGCTATGGCCCATGCAAAGACCAGCTGGCCAGAAGATCAGCTGGTGACGGTGCGCGTGCCCACAGAGAGGACTCTGTGTGCCACCTCTGCCATGCATGTTATAGGTTCGCCATCATGGGCCTATGTCATCCAATCACATTTAGTGGTAGTGAACCAATGGTGGGTTTCAAAAATTTTCTAGAACCTCTTCTGTAGGTGTGGCCTGCTTTGCGGGAGTGGCTTGCCAGCCATGTGGCCGAGGGGGAATGGGTTGGGGGGGGTGTGAGTGGGGGGGGGGGGGCCACCTGGTAAAATGTGGGG